ATCAAATTAAGAGAGAGAAAGAGTAGATTCACCTCGCCAAGACAGGGGAGGGGGCCAAAGCCAGGAAGCATAGCAACAGCCATAGCTCAAGGAGCACAAGGCCACACCAGAGTCTAGCAAGGCAATGGCCTTTTTTGGTTCTTTTTAATAATTTATCTTTTATTGGCATTCTCTATTTGAAGCAAAATTATTATCACATCTTCCTTCACTACTTTTTAAGTTCCTTATTTCTGTGAACGTGTCTATAATGATACTCTAAGGTTGTTTTTCCCCCCCTGATAAATATAACATCTGATCTCTCTGACACAGTTGCAGTGGTCTGCTTTTTGTCTTGTATATAGTTCATACTTCCTTTTTCTTTGCAAGCCTTGTAGTTTTTTGGTTTTGTTGGAAACTGGACATTTTAAATGATATAACACCTCTGGGTACTGGTATACCTCTTCCACCTTTTCTAGAGCTTGTTAATTTGTTTAGTGACTGGCTGGATTCTTTCAGTGAAATTTACTTCTCCATATACACAGTGTTCAGCCTCTGACGTTATCCTTTTGGTAGAGGCAGCTTTGGTGTGCCTATAGTCACCCCAGGATCATAGTGGTTTTGCTACGACTTTCTTCCTCTCTTTTACTGACCATATCCAACTGTTAAACTCAATTAATTGAGGGTTGATTATTGTTTTGAACAATGTCCTGGGTCATCAACTGAGCTACAAACAATACAATCAAATTCTGGTTTCTTTAAAGGAATAGTTTCTGAGATTAGTGTTTTATTTTTACTCTGATCCAAGGAAAGCTCTTCCCAGACGTCACTCCCTGATTCTGTCCTATGAACTATAAGACCTACAGTTTAGCCTATGTCTTGAATCTCCTCTCAAATACCTTTTACTACAACCTCCACTGTTGGGTGTGCAGATCACGCTTGGACTTCAGTTGCAAATGAAGTCAGTTCCTTTGGGAAGAAATTAGGAGCTGCCTGTTTTGTGGTCTGTATTTACCTCTGGGCAAAATCACTGAGTCAGGGCTCTCAAGCCGAGAGTAGGAAAAAAAGGAAACTTCTCTCACAATGACATTCCTACTCTAGGAGCTGAAAGCTCAATGGAATGAGGAGGGTCCTCTCATCTTGCCTCTACTGACATGGAACCACTGTCTAACTGCCCAAGGCAAGAGTGATTTGGCTCCCAGTATTCTCAGCAGGCTGTAATGAAATTCCACAAGTGGAGGCTAGGTAGAAAAAGGAGGCCCCAACTCTCAACTACACTCCTCCAGGACTTAGCCTCAGCAGTGGGTTGCTGAACAGGATGAAAAATGCTGATGTCTGCTTCTCCTGGGAAGAAAGTTGTCTGTTGAGGTGCTGCAGGAGAGTGGGCAGAGTGACAAATAAAAATCATAGGAGACCATTGTTTTGTAATAAGCTTCTGCACCAGGCACCAACAAGACCAGACTAAAAACCAAAATGGAATCACCCATGTTAAAGTTCCAAACCCAAACTAAGTTACTATCTGATCTTCTGAGAAAGCAGGACAAAAAAAAAGCTAACTTCCCAAACAGGCCAGTTTAAAATCTTCAAATGGCATGATAATAAAGTTGTTTCTGCTTTTATTTTTGCACATACACAAAAAGTGGCCTGAAGTAACCTGATGCTAATTAATTAGGTAACTTTCTGTTGGTCGGTCTAAAAGTAACTAATACACTCTTTGTACTCTGCTTCTGCTTTCTTCAGCCCTTCTGTCTATAAAACTATCCTCTCTGCTTCATCACTGAAATGCTGACTCCATTTTATGGAATGAAGTGCTACCTAATCCTAGAATCACAAATACAACCAATTGAGAGTATCAATTGTTGTATTTTTGTCTTTTAAAGGAAAGAGCCCTGTGTTCCTGGCTGTAGAAATCTGAACAGGAATCTCCACCTTACTGAGCTGGCATTAGAGAGAAAGTGAGCAGTATGGTTCGAATACCACAGACCCTTGTTTCTTGCTGAACTTGCATAGGTATTCTTGAATAAATGTTACTTCATTTGCTATTTGCCCTTTAGACCATTTCCAGAGACTAAATGGCTGGGTTTTAGATTTCTTTAAAATAATTTCTACCAGTCTCACTCGGAAGTAGATCAGTAGAGCTCCTCACACCTTCATACCAGAGCGTGGTCTCCCATTCACTGTTTAAAATAAAGGTATGAGGAGGTCCTGCACAGAGTGCTATATAGGCTATCTCATTTCATCTACATAGCTGTGAAGAAAAAAGATCTTCCCTTCTACAGGCCTTGAAACTGAGTCCCAGAATCATTTAGTAACTTACTTTAAGTAAAAAAGCAAATAGGTGGCAGAGATCTGATTCAGACCTAGGTCTAACTACATCCAAAGCCCACGTTTTCTGGATTAATCCCCTTTTTAATCTTTTACACACACACTTTTTTCTTTGAGTTGGAGTCTCACTCTGTCACCCAGGCTGGAGTGCAGTGACACACTCATGGCCACCATAGCCTCGATCTGCAGGCTCAGGTGATCCTTCCACCTCAGCTTTCCAAGTAGCTGTAACTATGGGCACACGCCACCATGCCCAGCTAATTTTTTGATTCATTGTAGAGATGAGGTCTCACCAAGTTGTCCAGGCTGGTCTCAAACCTGTGGGCTCAGGCAATCCCCTCACCTAGACCTCCCAAAGGACTGGGATTATAGGCGTGAGCCACCGCACCCGGTCTACACACACTTAAAAACCAGAGCTCATGAGACAGTTCTATTCTTATGCAGTTTCAATAATTTCTTTAGATAATACGCTGTTTTCTTCCTTACTGGATCTTTTTTTTAAATTTTATTTTTAAAATGTGGGGTACAATTCAGGGTTAGGTATATAAATGGTCATTGTACAGGTAAAGTCTGGACCTTACTTTGGTCCCCACTTCACATAGTTTGAGATCAGGTACTCTTATGGATGAAGCATGCCTCCCTCCCTTTCCTGATGGATCTTTCAAAATAATATTAATTATTACATATTATATACAATATATGTTATATAATTATAGATTTCCTTTTTAAAATGATATTATCAGAAGTACTGTTCCATTTGTTCATGCTTTGAGCTGCATTCCCACAGAGTCTATGACCAGGGGACTGCTATCTCACTGGAGCCCAGCAGGTCAAGGCTGCGGTGGCCAGGAGCGGCCACTGCACTCCAGTGTGGGCGACAGAGTGAGACTCCAACTCAAGAAAAAAAAAAATCTGCTTTCCTATAGACCAAGATAAATTTGATGTGCCCTGTATTTGATTTGTTAATTATTATGAACATTACGATAACATGGTCTTTTTTCTCCCAAAATTACCATTGTTTTTTCACCAATAAAAGTCTTTCTATGAGATTAAACAGTTTACTGGTAGATCAAGGATCTGGAAGATGTTTTCATTTGTTATAGAATAAAACTTGCAAAATGGTATCTGGAAATGAAAGTTGTCCATGTGCTTTTGTGTACAGCTGTGACCTAAATTAAGGTGGTTTTGTTATAACATGTGCCTGGCATATCAGGTCATAGTGTATTCCTCCAGTAACATAAATTGCTACTTCCCTCTTTCCAGATACTCTCTATCATGCTTCTGTTTTCTGGTTCATGGACATCCATACAAGCATGCCCTCCAAGAAGACTTCCCTGATCTCCCCAAGTTAATCACACTGTCCTCTGCACTAGTACTCTCACCTATATAGAGTTTTACAGTTTATATTCTCATGTTCAAATTAGTATGTTGATTTCCACGACTGTCTTTCACTGTATTTATTCATGGAGGGGAAAACCAGTGTCTTAGATAGAATCGCCATCACCAAGGAACATGGCTGGCATACAATTACATATATACTGAACGGCTACTACATCTTCTTAATATTCAATATTATTCTTCTGACCTTTCAGTGTTTTCATTTCTTTGAAATAAAGTCTCTTCCGACACTATATTCTGATTATAAATTTCATTCAATCACCATTAGCTTTAACATAAAATAAACACATATAAAAGCCAATTAAAAGTAAAATTAAGAAATGATACCTCCTTTAAAAGGATTAGTACTTATTCTAAAAAATACTTTGACACACAAAAAAATTAAGATCACTGGGAAAAGTTTAAGACACACACACACACACAAAAATCCGTGCAAACACAACTGTCCCGTCATTAATAAGAAGATTCCGCTTTAAAAGTTATGCCATGCCCTTTAAATATCTTAAATTTGTAAATACTCATATTGATAAAATTAGAAGTAAATTCCCCAAACAAATAAATTAGATAAACCTAAAGTATATAAAAACAAATCTTCCTCTGTAGTTACTTGCCAAAAACAGGCATGCCAATTTAGATTTGAAAGTTTGCCCTTTACCTCTACTTGATGACATTTCATCACTTGCTACAAAAAAATTTTTTTGCCAGTTCTTACCACCTCAAAAAATCAGATTTGTCAGTAACAAATTATCCTGCTTATTTCTGATGTTGTGCTAAAGCAAGTGTGAGAGAAAAAAATAGCTACTGAAGGCAGAAGCTTCAAAATTATAAGAATCATCAAGAGCCGCTATGAACACATGGTAAGGAGTATAGTTACATGTTATATTTAAACAAAGTGTAAGGAATGCATTAGGGGGAAACTATTTGCGCTTTCTCTCACAACAGAGCCTGCCTAATTGTGGCAGTGCTGTCACACTTGGCAACCTCAGTTAGGACCTGGAAATAGGCAAGACCCTCAGTCACATGTTCAGAAAGGATGTTTGTTTCTGCAGCTGTTTAATCTCAAGTGTCAGCACCTGATTGAAATAAACAAAACACCTTTGCTAAGGAAACAAAGATGTTGGAGAAATTTTACGTGGTTAATCAAAATTAATTAAAATTATTTTGTTGATAGAAAATGACAAGACTGAAGAACAGCATCGAGTGACAGCTGCTCGCTCAAGTGACAAAGGCATTGAACAGCTATTTTAGGTTTGCCCTAGTGCGCTCAATTGCTGTTTAAAGAATGCAATAAATGTACTTACCAAATATTTCGCCTCCACTAGCATATTCTGTCACCAGATAAATCATCCGTTCTGTCTCCATAACCTGGTGCAAAGGCAGGAAAGTGACAGACAGTGACACAAATGACAGGCTGATATCATAGGAAGAGAAACTACTGACTCCTCTTTTGTCATCTGAAATATAAATAACCACTACAAGCTTAAAGAAAATTTAAAACATTTTGGGAGGAACAAATATACATGTTATTAAGAAGAAAGAGAGAAAATAAATAATCCTCCAAATTATTAAATGTAGGAAACAATTACTGCTTGAGAGACAGTCCTTTTGTTGTTCCATGAGGTCTCTGCAATCTCTTAAGCTCCATAAAACTAAGAAGCAAAAAAGCTGTCAAGAACCAAAACTTAAAGTTCACATTCAACATCAGTCACTTGAAGCAAAAAAGTGCCCCACAAAAAAATCCAACCAACACAAACCCCTTAGGGAAAATCATGGAAATCACTTAAAAACTGCATAGAAATCACATACGGCTTACTCTTTATAATAGAAATGGCAACTTTCCTTTTCTTTTTATTCAAAAGAGGGAATAATAATTTAACATATTCAACCTTTTAAAGCAACAGATTATTTGTATTTTGTCTTAGTTCCTATTTTGCTACCTTTTTAAATTTGTTATAGTATGTTGTCAATCATTTCTTCCTTTTTATTTTTTGGTCAAACTTTTTTTTTTTTTTTTGAATTGGAGTCTCACTCAGTCACCCAGACTAGAGTGCAGTGGCTGCTCCCAGCCACTGCATCCTCGACCTGCTGGGCTCCGGCGATCCTTCCGCCTCAGCTTTCCAAGAAGCTGGAACTACAGGG